CAGCCTGATTGACGCATAACTGCTCCCCTGCTGTCTGAATGCCCCCAACTGCCCTCCCCTGCAGGCCCAGTCACCCCCAACTGCCCTCCCTTTGCCAGCCTGGTTGCCCCTAACTGCCCTCCCCTGACGACCTGGTCACCCCTAACTGCCCTCCCCTGCTGGCCTGATGGCCCACAACTGCCCTCCTCTGCAGGCCTGGTCACCCCTATCTGCCCTCCCCTGCTGGCCTGCTGGCCTGCTGGCCCACAACTGCCCTCCCCTGCCGGCCTGGTCACCCACAACTGCCCTCCCCTGCAAGCCATCTTGTGGCGGCCATCTTTGACCACATGAGAGTGGCCATCTTGTGTGTTGGAGTGACTTGCCAATTTGCATATTACTCTTTATTATATAGGATTACTTATACTTTCTGAAACTATAGAAGCTCATTTATCTATAAGTTTGGTTGCTATGGAATAGTAAGACAGTGAAAATGAGAGAGGGGTACTAGAAGCCAGTTGGCAGTTTATAAGAACATTACTTCAAATTCTGACCAAAAAATAAGTACATTTGAGAAAAGGGGGGAAGACAGAAAATGGAGGTAGTTCAATATGGCACCTTACTGTCACTATGATATAAATAGGTTCAATTTTTGGTATACACTGTAAGTCTAGCACATTACATAGCTAAAAAATAAGGATGTTATTCTCCTGAAGCCCAGATACATAAATAATACATTGCTTGAGTTCCTTCATATAAAGAGTTTAGTAATGTTTACCTCAATTCCCAAAGCTTTGAGTATATCACATTTGCACATGGGGCAAGTCCTATGTTCTAACAGCCATGGATCAACACATGTCTTATGGAAAATATGGCTAATGAAGGAAAAAAAATAATTTATCAGTTGTGAAATAGCAACAACACTTTGCCTAATGTACTAATAGGTTACCCTGTAATTTCACTTAGTCTTTTAACAGATGTTTGTTTTTTCTCTTTTAAACACACTATTACAAGCAGCAATTTCAACCTTTTTCATCTCATGGCACACATAAACTAGTTACTCAAATTCTGTGGCACACCAAAAAATATATGATTTTTTTTGCCAATCTGACAAAAAAAAAACTAGGTATAATTTTGATTCATACCAGACAGCTATTGTGGTTGGCCATGGTCATTTTTTATTTGACAATTTAAGAGAAAAGAGATCAGTGCCCCTAACTAAGTAGTCAGGTATTGCATGTTTTAAAAATTCTTGTGGCCTATGGGTTGAAAATAGCTGTATTACAGCATAAATACCAAGAAGGAGCCACAGAAGCAAAATTTGGAAATTTCATAATATAGTATTTTTTAATATAAAAGCCCTATTATTCTAGCTTCAAAAGATATAGTTTCAATACTCATTACTCGAAAAATGACTAAGACACTGCTGTCCTAAGACTTTGTTCAGTATTTCGGATCTTAATTATCTTGTCATTCCCTAACTGTAAAATGGTACAGTTGGTCATTCCCAATAATATAGTACAATACAGTATTGAATACAACATAGTGCTGATTCTTTAGGCAATATTATACATGCTTAGGGCACCACTTTTTACTAGCTAAAAGAAAGAGTGTTAAGAACAACTTTCAGGAGAGAGATAATAAATAAAAAACCCCACAAAAGAATGAATTCTTCCAAATAGGTACTAATAAGTTGATGTTATGTTTTTTCCTTAATAGAATTGCTAGCATGAATTTAAATAACCTAGTATATATACAGTATAATTGTGGTGCTGACTAGGTTCTCAGTTTTATATGAAACTAGTTTACAAATTTTATCAAATTATGGACACTTTATATAATTAGCCATATACCAATTTCAATATTATTAAAAATAAAACATTCTCCTATATTTAAATGAAAATAACAAAATAAATACTTTAGGGGGGTAGGGGAGGCCGGGGGAAGGTCAAGGGGGGAAAAAAGGAGACATATGTAATACTCTTTGTAATACTTTAAGCAATAAAACAAAATTTATTAAATAAATAAATAAATACTTTATTTACATAAACTTGGAAATATTCAAAATAGTTTCCCCCATTACAATCATTTTTGTAAATCAGCTATTCTTATTGATGATATAAATGAAAATCAAACTTACTTGCAGGTTAAGATGCGCACTAAATCATTTGGTTTATACAGTTCAATACACACAGCACAACTATCTCCATCAGGACCAATTTCCTATGAGCAAATAGTTATTGTTACTCTAATGGACAAGAAACAATACATTAAACTACAGAGCAAGATCAGAATATACATGTCTTAAATTGCATAAATTCCTATAGAAAGAAGAACATCATATCACTAAATGACTATATTTAATAAGCAATTTAAAATTATTTATACTTTAAAATGTCAAACTTATAGAAACAGAGAGTAGAAACGTGGTTGCCAGGGACTGGAGGTGGAGGAAATTGGCAGAAGTTGGTAAAAGGGTAAAAACTTTCAGCTATAAGGTCTGAGGATCTAATTAAAACATGGTGACTACAGTTGATTACACTGCATTACATAATTGAAATTTAAAATAAAATTATTTAGACTTAAAAATGTAAAAGAATAAAGTTATCTAAAAGGGGAATAGCACAAAGAAAAACATGGAGCACTTATTTAAACCCTTTTCCTAGATTTAATTTACAAAATGCCATTTGTACAATTCTTTAGCTATGTTGTCCCATTTATTTATTTTTATTATTATTTTTTAATCCTCACCCTAGAATATTTTTCCATTGATTTTTTAAAGAGAATGTAAGCGAGAAAGACAGAGAGAAATATCGATGTGAGAGAAATAAATCAATTGGTTGTCTCCTGCATGAGCCCTGACCAGGGCCCGGGCCAGAGAGGAGCCTGAAACTGAGGTACCGGCCCTTCACTGGAATCGAACCCACAACCCTTTGGTCCGCAGGCCCACACTCTATCCACTGAGCCAAACCGGCTAGGGCAATTTAAAGAAAATTAAGATATAATTCACATACAGTAAAATTCACTCTTTTTAGTATGCAGTTTTGCAAGTTTAGACAAACATGCCACTTAATCACCACCACAATCAAAATATAAAATAGTTTTATTACCTCAACAAATTCCTCTGTACCCCTTTGTAGTTACCTCTCCTTTTACCCCCACCCTCTGGCAACCACTGATCTGTTTTCAGTTTCTATACTTTTGGCTTTTCTAGAATTTCATATACTAGTAAATGGACTCCTGCATTTGAGTCTGACTTCTTTCAGTTAACATAATGCATTTGAGAGTCATTCATATTGTTGTGTGTATTGGTAGGGTCCCCTCCCTTTATATTGCTAACCAGTATTCCGGGATATCAATGTACCACAGTTATTTATCCATTCGCCAATTGAAGGACATTTGGGTTCTTTCCCATTGTTGGTAATTATTAATAAAGCTGAACAATTGTGTACAAGTTTTTATGTGAACACATTTTTTTTCCCTCTGGGGTAAATATTTAGTAGTGAGATTGCTGTGTTGTTTGCAAAGTGTATATTTGACTTCATAAAGAACTGCCAAACTGTTTTCCAAACTGGCTGTACATTGCATTCTCACCAGCAAATGCATGAGAGTTCCAGTTTTTCCACATCTTGGCCAGCTCTTGGTATTGTCAATTGTATTTGTTTTAGCCATTCTAATGAATGTGCTGTGTTATCGCATTGTGGTTTGTATTTGCATTTCCCTAATGACTAATGATGTTGAGCATCCTTTTATGTGCTTTTTTGCCATCCATGTGGTAACATGTCTGTTTTGCCCATTTTTCACTAGGTTGCTTGTTTTTTTACTGTTGAGTCTTGAGAGTTCTTCATAGATTCTGGATACAGCTCTTTATCAGATATGGGGTTTGCAGATATTTTCTCCCAGTCTGTTGCTTGTCTTTTCATTCTCTTTTTTAAAAAATATATTTTATTGATTTTTTTACAGAGAGGAAGGGAGAAGGAGAGGGATAGAGAGTTAGAAACGTTGATGAGAGAGAAACATCGATTCAGCTGCTTCCTGCACACTCCCTACTGGGGATTTGCCCGCAACCAAGGTACATGCTCTTGACCGGAATCGAACCTGGGACCCTTCAGTCTGCAGGCTGACACTCTATCCACTGAGCCAAACCAGTCAGGGCAGTCTTTTCATTCTCTTAACAGTGTCTTTCAAAGAGCAAAAATTCTTAATTTTGACAGAGTTAAATTTCTCATTTTTTTTCTTTAATGGGCATGTTTTTGGTATCACATCTAAGTAATTTTTGCCTAACCCAAGCCATGAAGATATTTTTCTCTGAAGTTTTCCTCTAAAAATTTCATAGTTCTAGGTTTTATATTTAGGCCTGTGATCCATTTTGAGTTAATTTTCACAAAGAGTATAAAGTATGGATTGAGGTTCATTTTTTGCATATGGATATTCAATCATTGCATATAGAGACCCAACAATTGGCTATTTTTCTTCATTGAATTGCCTTTCTACCTTTGTCAAAATCAATTAACCATATATATGCTGGTCTCTTTCTGGACTTTCTCTTCTATTCCATTGATTTAAATAAAGATCTCTCCTTTCTCCAATACCACAATATCTTAAAAAAATAATTCTGCAAATCAGGTAATGTGAGTCATCCAAATGTTCTTCTTTACAAAAATTGCTTTGGTTATTGTAGTTCTTTTGATTTTCCTTATAAGCCTAGAATCAACTTGTCAATTTCTATAAAAGATCCAACTAGGATTTTGATTGAAACTACATTGAATAAATAGATTAGTTTTTTGGGGGGATTGATATTTTGACAACAGTGAGTATTCTGACCCATGCACATTTATTTAGGTCTTCCTTGATTTCTTTTTTCTTTTATGTTTTGCAGTTTTCAGCATATAGATCTTATGCATATTTTGTAAGATTTATACCTAAGTATTTAATGGTTTTGGTGCTATTATAAATGGTATTTTTATGTTTATCATTTCATGTACTAGAACATGCTGAGCTATGTCATGAAAATTTATACAACTACCCACTCTGTCCACATACCCTATACTACTTATGACCAACTGGGTGTAACATTAAAAGCCACATCTACATATCAGCCCAGATCTTACTGATTGTTTAAGCTTAAACTTGTGACTATAGTTGCTATCACTCTAACATTCTGATCTCACCACCCAACAAGCCACATATACACTTTTATACTACAGCTGATTTAAAATGAAGAGCAGCAGAAGCAACATAACGTGACATGGCATAGAGAAACCCTAGAGATGATTAGTCCAATGTGCTCATTTTTCAAACTTGTGCTGTCTAATTCAGTAGCCACTAACCACATGTGCCTGAAATGTGACTGGTTTGAACTGAAATGTGCCATAAGTATAAAATATACACTAGATGTTGAAGACTTAGTAAAATATAAATGTAAAATATTGCATTAATAATTATATATTGATTACATGTTGAAATGATTATATTTTAGATATATTATACTAGGCATTAAAATTAATTTGTCTTTTTAAAACTTTTTAATGTGGCTACTAGAAAATTTATTCATTTTTTATTTTATTGAATTGGTATTTTTTTATTTCAATAAGTTCTATATTTTTGATACACAATTTACACATTAATGGTAGTTTTCAACTGTCTTAACCTGAACCTAATTATTCAAGTAAAGCTATATTGAAGCATTGTATTAGTTTCCTATTGTTGCTAAAACAATTTACTATTACTTTATGGTTTAGATAACAAATTTATTTTCTTATTGCCTTGGAAATCATAATTTAAAAAATCAAGGTGTTGGCAGTGCTGTGCTACTTCTGAAGACTTCAGGGGTGAATCCCTTTCCTTACCTTTTCCAGATTCTAGAGGGTGTCTGCATTCCTTGACTCATGGCCTCCTTCTTGTGTCACCACCCAACCTCTTGTTTCCATGTACCGTAGTCAAATCTGCCCCTTCCTCCCTCTAACAATGATACTGTGATTATATTTAGGATCCACCTGGATAATCCAGGATAATCTCCCCATCTCAAGATCCTTCCTTAATTTAATCACACAAGCAAAAGTTCTTTTTTGCCATATAAAGTAACATTTACAAGTTCAGGGACTAGAACCTAGATAGCTTTGGGAGTCATTATTCAGCCATCTTCAACATTGAATAAATTTTAAAAGTTAAGATTTATAAATTCAAATGAAAATACTACTTTGGAAGAACATTTAGCTTTAGCATTGCTTTAAAACAAAAGGCATTTTTAAGTCACAAATGTACCTTGTCCCCTTGTTTCAGTGTGCGGAGTTGAAGCCTTCCAATAGCTTTTTTAGCATCTGCCTTTAATTGTCTCTGTAATAAAAAAGAATAGGTATTACAAAAACTATTAAAAATACAATGATAAAGTTAGAATTAAAAATATTTATTCAGTTAAATGGATTTTAAAAGATAAAATTTTTTACAATATAAAATTTAATTAATTATAATAATTGTCCTACTTATCTGATACGGGGCAGGATTTTTTAAATTACTGAAACTTTTCACTTATTATGTTTCCCTAACTTCTTAAACAGCATCTTCGGTCTACAATAGTAAAAGCTATGTGTCCCCATCCAAATGAATTCAAATGTTATGAATTTTCAAAGCAATATTCCTATTTTCAAGCTCAGAGAATCTTAAATTAGATCTTTTCCTTTCTTTAAAAAATCATTTCTCACTTGGTAGAAAGTACATAGGATTTGGATTTAAATGGACCTAGATGAAAATATGACTTTGTTACTTATTAAATGAATAATCCTGAACAACTCATTTAATTCTTTGAGCTTGTTTACACATCTATAAAATAAGGATATTACCAACCCTTGCAGTGTTATTTAGTATTAGGAAAAATAATTACTGTTTATAATCACTACTACCTTGTAAAGAGGGTGGCTTCTGAGAGTGGTAGGCCTGTTTTTTTTCCTACTGAGCACATACCTAGAGGAGTCTGGGCATGTAAAGACAAGCCCCAGGCTCATTTAAGGAATAAGGACTAAAATGTAGTACATAATTGAATCAGAAGTAAAATTGGGGTATAGGGGAAATCAGAGATTGTGAAAAGATAAGAAAGAGAGTAATCAATGAGAAACTCTCCTATGTGATATGAACTGTTCAAAGATAAAAAAATCTCAGGTGGTTTGATTTATTCAGTGTTAATCTGAAGTTATTTGTGATGCTGCAAAAAGATATGTCCCTTTCATTAAAATCTACCTCATACACAAATACCTCAATTGAATATAATATATGTGTAAACTGAAGAAGGGGCCAGTTGTCACACCTGGATGGATGCTCTGTGGAATAGAGAGATAGTATGTGCAGCATGGCAAGATAATAAACTACCTTCCTATTTTAAACTGCAAAATTAACAAACTTGGTAGAAATTCAGTAAAAAGTAAGCACCTAGAACCAGAGGTCATTGTGAGAATGTAAACAGCTTCTTCATCCTTATATATGTATCTCCATCTCCAGCAGGGAGACCTACATCTGACATTTATGTGATGTGAAAATTAGAGATAATTCAAGTATCTAGTGTAATATCTGGCATATAACAGACACTCAATAAAATGTTTATTAAATGAAAATATAAACTACTATTCAAAGTAAGCATAACAGGTTCTTGTAACATGTTTATATATAACTGCAGCAAATATATGTTGGAAGGAAATAATCCATGAATGTAGGTATGTAAGGAAATTCCTTAATGCTCAAACCTACCTCCTACATAAGATATCATTATGTGAAAGGTATTTGGCTTAATGCTAAGAAGATTACTATCTAAACTATTTATTTGCTATCACAGGAACAACAGAAACTTCTCAGATTGTTACCTGACCAGCAAATATAACTTAATAGAAATAGTTAATAGGAAGGCCTAGTCCTCAGAAGGAAAGAAGTGCTAATCGAGGCCCCTTCATTCTCATTTTGGGACTTAATTATGAATTAACTCACAAGGAGAATTCTATGATGGCACTTTATTTTGAGCACAAATATTTTCCCTTCAATTTTGTTACTTATATTTCATATATATAAAAGCCCAGTGACCAAACAGTGGAATGACCAGAACCACCGGTCGCTATGATGCGCACAGCAGCAGCCAACCAGCCTGATCCGGGCCCTGATTGCCCCCCCCACCAACCTCCCGTGGTCCCTGTTCCTGGCCAGCCCCGCCCCTGATAGCCCCCCCACCCCGATCGGGGACAGGGCCTCCAGCCAACCACCCGCAGCCCCTCCCCCTGGCCCCTCCCACCATTCCCCCCCTGCCGGCTGGCCCCCCCATAGGCCCCGATCAGAGGGGCCGGCCAGCCAACCTCCCGGGGTCCCTCCCCCTGGCCAGCCAGCCCAATAGGCCTTGATCGCCCACCAGGCCGAGGGACCCCACCTGTGCACGAATTCATACACCAGGCCTCTAGTAAGTATATTATAGAGTGACAGTGAAAGGAAGTACTCTTAGGATCTTTAGAACTGGAAGAACTTTTAGAGTTCACTTAGCCTGATATCAAATCTGATAGATAAGAAAAGTGATGCCCAAGGAGGAGAAATGCCTTGCTCAACATCTCTGAGTTCACAGTTAGTCTTACTGAAGCCCAGAATTAGTGTTTCTTCCCAACATCAAGGTAACCATCTTTTTTTTACTGTGGCTTGGAATAGGAAGTTGGTACTACTTCCTTATATTTATACAATTATTTTATAATTTAAAAATATCTTTATATCTATTACCTCATTTAATTATCACAACAACCTCCCGAGGGAGATAATATCCTCATTTTAAAGATGAGCAAATGGAAGCTTGGAAAAGTAAAAAATAAAAACAAAGACAAAATAAAACAAAAACTCGTCCAAAAGGGCATGCCACCTCTAAATGATAAAGCTGTTACTGGAACTCTTCATATTCCAAGATTCCATTACAATACTCCTATCCATGACTCAGCTACCTTTTGAAGTTTTTCCAACTCCTGGATTCTATGGTCTTTCAAATTGTTGCCAGTCCTTAAAGTGAACAAGCAATATGCCAACAGGACCCTGACCTTGGCCTAGACTTCCAAATGTAACTATTTTTTTTTTTGTATATAGATCATGAGCTTTAAGATACCAAGATTAGAAAAATGCAAATGATAAGTAAAAGAACCAAGAACAGGAAATAGGAAAAAGAAAACATGTAGTTAAGTCTTTGACAGTCATTTTACACTTTGTCTTTAGAGCACTTCTGAATTAGGCTTAAGCAACAAACTCTACAACACAATTAGAGAAATGAACTCACAAGGATACAAGTCGGGAGATACAAAAAGACAGAGCAAAACCAAACCCAATATTGCAGAAGATTTTAAGCAGCGGACTTGATTATGAAGAAATTTATAAAAAGATTTGTAGCACAGTAGAAACCCAATGTTTAACAAAGCAGCCCTGGAATAAAAGAAAAATCATTTAAAAGGAAGTTTGAATATTTCCAGTAACTCCTCCTGAGCTTAAAAAAAAACAACCAAAAGTCATTTTCTTTAAATATGGATGTGAGCCATGTGATTTTGGTAAGAAGCACAAACTATATTTTTGGAGCTTGGATGAAATTCACTTGCAAAACTGCAAATTAGTATTCAAAATATTTCACTGTCAACACTGATAGCAAAAGATTCCAAGATGCATTCATTCCTATAAAAACTGAAATATGAGAAGAACATTAAGACCAAGTAGTTTATATTATGTACATATGCTTGGATAATATTATTTAAGTCAAACTTCTGAGTGCTCAAATATGTTTCAACATTTAAAGACAATATGCCCCAAAGCAAACTGTAATTTACCTACTATTCCTTAAAAATAACTTCAAGATTATATCTACTTTCTTAGACAAGTTACATTAGACACTTTTTCAATGTCTCTCCACCATATCAGAATTCTCTTCTATCCCATCAATTCCAATAGGACAGTGTTTCTACCTCTTACCATATTCTGTAATTGTATTATTTATGTCTTTCTCTCCCACTAGATTGCTAGGACTGTGTGTTTAACATGAAAAAAATCCCATAGTGCTTAGTCAGTGCTCAAAGATTAGCTTCTGAATTTATAAAATTAAAACAGATTTTCATGATTTTCTCATCCAAGTCATAGTTTTACTTATTAAAAGCCTCTACTTGTTAAATTTAGGAAGAGTTCTTTTAAAATTTTTTATTAAGTTATTACATATGTGTCCTTATCCCCACGTTACCCCCTATCCCCCCCACTCATGCTTAGATAACATGTACTGGGCTTCTACCATGTGTCAGGTTCAACACTAAGCTTAGTGTCATCTTGTTTAATAATTAATAATCTTATGGAATGGGTATTTTAATATCCAAGTTTTATAGAAAAGAAAAGATTAAGAAGCTTGACTAAAGTCGAGGCAGCTGGTTAGCTGCAGAGCTGTGATTCAATTCAAGCCCAGGTTCCAACTGGCTTTAAAGCCCACGATCTCTCCACTATAGTACACTGCCTCCATTGTGTCTTCAAAAGGCTTCATATTCCTTATGAAGAAGATAAATCAAATAAATAAGAAAAAAGAAATCTCAAAGTCAGCTATTATCCAATCTTCAAATCCTTCCTAAATTGGCTACTTACTGAGATTTCGGGAACTCTTTTAAACAAGTATATTATAACAACATACTCCTTCCTCTTCCTCCCCCATCTTAAGAAATACCTGGTCAAAGAATATTTGGCAGTAGAGTTCAAGGCTAATTCAAAGAAGCTTAGTTGTTGGCCAATTTTTTTTTAAAACATAAGCTTAATGTCATTATTTAAGCTATTCAAAAGCTGTGATTGCTCTAGTCACTGAAGAATCTCAGGTATATAGTATTTTGGGTTCTGATTGGGGCTTTATTTGGACTGAAAATGATATTCTGAATAGTTCATTTGTGTACTTAATCCAATTAAATAAAAATAATGTTTCAGTCTGGTGATCTTTTAGACTGGTTTTGGTCCCAAGGCATTCAGATTTTTGCTTAACTGAAACCTACATGAATAACACTACCCATGTAGTCAAACCTAGTTACTTGATAGGGGGCAGGGCCTGCAAAAGCAAAAAAGGGGAGTGTGCCTCGTCAGTGTGACTCAGTGGTTGAGCATTGACCTATGAACCAGGAGGTCATGGTTCAATTCCCAGTCAGGGCATATGCCCAGGTTGCAAGCTCGATCCCCAGTGTGGGTGTGCAGAAGGCAGCCGATCAATGATTCCCTTTCATCATTGATGTTTCTATCTTTCTCTCTATCTCCCTCTCTCTTCCTCTTGGAAATAAATAAAAACATATTGTTTTTTTAAAAAAGAGAGTAGGGTGGACAAAAGAAAA